TTTGTAGTGTGCCAGTTAATGTTCTTAGAATAGCCGGAAGGATCGATGCGAAAGAAAACCCCAGAATAACAAAGGATCAGACAAAAACTAAACAAAATGAAATCAACACTGACATGCCAATTATAAACATTATAAAAACAATAGCACTGGAATTCATACAGGAACTAAACAACCCATCCAGAACTGACGACTGCTTCAAAATTCTAATGGAAATTTTATATAACAATCGGTGTGTTGTTCTTGGGTGTTTCATTTGTGGATTTTCATTCATTCTGTTTTGTGATTGTGCTGGTGACTGCAGCTGCGTATGTTGTTTTTTGTGTCTGTGGTGTTGGAAGTAGCGTCTTTCTTGTTGTTTGTGTTGGTTGGGGTTGCTTTTGTGTACTTGGGTTTTTGATTTCGTAAATTTTGGTTTTAATAGTTTTGTACTTTTCGCAGCCCTTGTAGTTGGCTGTGCGGTTTTCTCCACAGTTACAACATTTAGGTTCGGGTTTTTGTTTGGTGCATTGTGTTATGTGGTGGTTTTCCCCACAGCCAACGCATCTTGGGGTGGCTTGGCATGCAGCTGCTACATGTCCAAACCGCTGGCAGTGGTAGCATTGAGTCACAACTATTGCTGGTGCTTTTGTTGGTTCCACAGTGTATTTTTGGTACCACATAATGATACCATTGTTTATGTATTGTGTGATGTCTTGTGTGTTATCTACGTGTATTTTGACTAAGTTGGTTGGTTTTTTTGTGATGTTTGAAATTATACGTTCGACTTTATTTACTTTAATTTGTTGTGTTTGTAATGTGTCTTGTATGTCTTCTGTGCTAATGGAATAGTGCACTCCCCTGATCACGAATGACCTGGGTTGTGCACTTGCTCCCGGAAGTTGTATTGTAATTGCATTCGTGTTGAATGCATTTTCTGGCCATGACTGTAATAATTTGTTCAGGTCAGCGGGTTCTTGTCCTCGAACGAGAACACCGCCCCTGGGTAGACGTTTTATGTTTGTGATCTGTGCTTTCGGTTTGCACCGATGAATTTCTTTAGCTAATTGTGGTTGGTTGTAATGTCCAGGGATTCCCTGAATGATTATAGCATATGAAGGTTTTTGATTGTCTGTGTTGTGTTGTTGTTCTATTCTTGTTCCGCCTTGTACTAGTTTTTCACTTTGTTTTTGTTTTTTAGATTTTACTAGGGTAAAACCCTCTTCATCAGTATTTGGTGTTTGTGTTTTGTTCAATGTCGTGTTCAGTGTTTGTTCAGCATCCAAGGTGTGAGGTGTTTTACTTACATGATTAAACTGTACGTTACCGCCGTTGATAGTGTCAGCCTCGGCCTCACTATCTTCGGTTTCTTTATTTACCGTTGGTGATTTTGAAATTTTACGTTTCTTTTTTGCTCTACTTTTGGATAATTCTTCTTTAGCAAAGTTAATTAATCCTTTTAAGCTATCATTACAATTATTTCGATCAGGTACACCCACGTCAGACTTACATAGATTATCTTGCATAGCCGTTAGTTTCATTTCAGTGGTTGTTTCTTCAGTATGTATGTTCCGATCTTCGAAGTAGGCCTTGTCCGTTTTCCGTGTCGTTTTGCCGGTGTTCATGGTCGGTCGGTCAAAAGAGGTCTCCCTCAGCGTAGTCTTCAGAATCGCTACGGTGATGCTGTTTCACTGATTTAATGGTTGATCTTCTTTTTATTGTGAAATTTGGGGAACGAGCCTGGAGAGATGCTAAAGTTTTTCAAATAAAAACCGTTAGGTACTTTTCAGGAATTGTTTTTAGCTGTTCACTCTTCGCCTTAAACAAACCGAATCTGGTGTCACAACTGGAATTGTTTGTTTGTTTGTTTTGAATTTCGCGCAAAGCTACACGAGGGCTATCTGCGTTAGCCGTCCCTAATTTAGCAGTGTAAGACTAGAGGGAAGGCAGCTAGTCATCACCACCCACCGCCAACTCTTGGGATACTCTTTTACTAACGAATAGTGGGATTGACCGTCACATTATAACGCCCCAACTGGAATTACTTTGGTGAAAATAAAACACTGAGTAAACTATAACTTCCGAGATAACGTCACGAGGTGGTATCAGAGATTCATTGGAGTTAATGAAACATTTAAATGAAAGCCGAAAAAATTCAAAAAATTAAGAAGAAAGAAACAGAAAATTAAAAAAAAAGACTGAGAAAAACATTTATAGAAAACTGAAAGATGATCAAGGAGTTTTAAAAAAGATGTAATATTCAAAAATAAATCTGATTGAAGACAAGATCAATGAAGCTATTGAGGATGCACCTAGGGATTAGAATAAGAATAAAGAGGTTGTTATGATACAATTAGAATGTACAAAAAGCTAAGAATGAAGTAAAAAAAAACAGACAAAGAAAAGAACATCAATGACAGAATAAAACAGGTGGAAAATGAATTAACTAAATGCAAAAATTAAATTGGTCACACGTCTTTGTGCACTGACACAAAAATTCCAACCTAACTCACCATTTACTATATAATATTGTTGCGTCAGCGAGTCACATGACTACTATGACGCAACGTTTCTAGAACTATCATGTACTTTGGCGAATGTTCAAGTTCTTACTAGATATAGGGTAGGCGGATATATATAAGAGGGGACAACGTGACGCGGTAAGAGATGTAGACAGTGAGTAA